CCAGCTGCTTCTTCTGGTCTTTTCTTCTTATCAGACTCAAGGTATTGGCTGTATGTTGTTCTGGCATTGGAAGCACTGCAGAGAAAAGCCTTGGTCATGGAAACATTCCCATCACCACCAACTGTGGCCAAAAAGACCATGATAATGCACTGTGCGACTAGAGTCTGCTGTTTCATATTGTCTGTGGAAATTTCCCGACTGACTAAGAAACCTCTCCACTGAGGCCTGTACAAGAGAGAGTACCAGCAATTTGCAAACAACTTTCCAGTTTTAATATTCTTTGTTGCTAGACAAAGTAGAATAGAACAAAGTGTCCAGACGGTTTTCTTGCTTTCTGAAATTCTTGAAAGCAATATTGCCAGAAATCTCATTCATGAAATCTTTGAAATCTAGTAATGTCATCACAATCAGACTTGCTGACTTGTTTTCTATCATCATGGGGGAAAGACAGCATTTTAGACTGTCTTCTGTGGCAATTGTTTGTTTTTTTACAAATGGATCCAGGGTTCTGCCAATCAGGTGACCTTACAAGAAGGTATCTTTGCTAGAAGTTTATCAATGATGGTGATGAACATTGACTTTGTTGCAATTCTTCAATCAAACAGATCTTTTGTTGACGCATTTCCTTTTTTGGTATAAATTTTGTATGGCCCTTTCGACCGGAAATACACACTCGAGCTTTGCAGCATTTTTATGCAATGCTTGAGTTTGACAAAATTCTTACAAATTCATTCAGTTTAAAAAATGCAATTTTTTTTTTTCTTTACATTATGCTCTTTCTTTACAAATCTTAAGTTTCAAGATCATGCTAAAAAGATCATCTACAAGGAAAGGAAGCAGTGATTTATCGCACTGATATTTCATCAGAAACAGTTTATGGTCTTTCGAAGATACAAACATCTGCATTTTCATTGGAGATAAAAATGTTATTCACGTTTGACAGCACTAGAGACGGACTTGATCTAGGGACATTTTTCTGTTAAGTATTAAGTTTAAAACTTTGCTGACATCTGGCCAAATGTCTAGGGGTTCTTCACATGTTTGTACATTTTCTAGTCATCTATGACAGAAATACAAAAAGGACAGGGGTAGCCAGATTAAACTTTTCAATAAAAGCGAAATAAGTTTTAATATATTTCACCAGTTTTTCACTTACAACAAAAGCTAGAGATACAGGTCATTATTAGCCTGCAAACTTTAAAAATAACTTTTTTTTTTCTTCAAAGCCGCATTTTCTATCCTATCAAAGGCACATTTTCTGTCATCCTTCCCGGCTATATTTTCTTTGAGTCAAATTTGATTCTCAAACTTGTTACTTTTGGCAACAATTTAGACAAACGCAGTTTTTACAGATACGCATTGACACGGTACACGTAAAGTAGGTACCTCCAATAATTCGGAAAAAAAAATGAAATATGAGCTCTGGTAAAAAATGATAACAGCAAACATTGCAATATGAACACTCGTAAGAAACGGTGGCTGAAGACATTAGGTTTATAATACCCAGAAATTCATACACAGATATCCCCAAGGACATATGGCACAGTGGATAAAGGCGTTAGTTAGATCCAGTGACAGGACCCAAAGAGTGTGAGTTCAATAACTGGTTAAGGCGGTGGAGAACTTTGAGAGGGGAATTAAAGGCGATACCTGACATCCATTAGACATGGTACGTGGAACTAGAACAGTCTACCCCAGCGAGCGAAATAAAGGGTTCAGTTCGACATTCCAACCACCTTACAACGGCCGGAACATTGTGATAAACATGGCGACAAAGATGAGGACAATAGTCCGAATAATGTAAATAGTATATATATATATATATATATATATATATATATATATACGAAATTAATTTACAATTTAATTTTTTTTTTTTCCAAATATTTTTAAATTATGTATTTTCGGTTACTATACACAGGAGTGGTTAAAATTCATGCCCCCAAAAGAAAGGTCGCACTATACATTAAATGGTCTTATACAGAAGTATATATGGTAGCTCTCTGATGAAATAGATTCTCTAAAAATTAAATGTCAGTATTTTTTTTTTCTTCACATGAAAGCTGAAAAGGAACGACCGATCTAAATAGGTTTTCACATATTTTGCGGTTATTAAACTCGCATTAAAAAGATATCTGATACGTCAAAGAAATCTCCCTTGAGACTCCCGTAACTTCATTTGTGAAAAGGACAGAATAAGATTTTAAATTCAAGTTCACTCTTTTGAATCTAATACTCGCCATTAAAAACATCTTAAAGATTATTTTAAATATTTAAAAAAAATAAAACAAAAATAAAATGAAGAAATTCTATATCAGCTTTCAAAGAAATAAACTGCTGTTGACAGACTTTAACACATTCAAACAAGAAGCCGACATGGAACAAAATTTGGTAAGTCTCAAGGACCCGTATTTAACTAACTCCACACGAGAGGAGAATGCGACACATGGTCAGGTTACTGTGTCACTCCTCACGCTCTTGCGTATGCTTGCGAGAGAAAAAAAAGACAAAAGCCTACATAATTAAATTTCCCGTAACTCGTATCAGGAAGGTGTTGGAATGCTCCATTTTGGTGCAATGGGGAGGTGGTCTCCTGTGGGTCGGACATCCCAGGTTAGTACAGAGTTTGCCTCCACCAGAGAGAGAGAGAGGAGAGAGAGGAAAAGAGAGAGAGGAGAGAGAGGAAAAGAGAGAGAGGAGAGAGAGGAAAAGAGAGAGAGAGAGAGAGGAAAAGAGAGAGAGAGAAGAAAAGAGAGAGAGAGAGAGAGAGAGAGGAAAAGATAGAGAGAGGAAAAAGGAAAAGAAAAAGAAAAAATGAGTAAAAAACAGAAAAAAGAGAAGAAAAAACAGAAAAAAAGAGAAGAAAAAACAGAAAAAAGAGAGAAGAAAAAGCAGAAAAAAAGAGAAGAAAAAACAGAAAAAAAAGAGAAGAAAAAACAGAAAAAAAAGAGAAGAAAAAACAGAAAAAAAAGAGAAGAAAAAACAGAAAAAAAAGAGAAGAAAAAACAGAAAAAAGAGAAGAAAAAACAGAAAAAAAAGAAGAAAAAACAGGGAAAAAAAAGAAGAAAAAACAGGAAAAAAAAAGAAGAAAAAACAGGAAAAAAAGCAGAAAAAGGGGGAAAAAACAGAAAAAAAAGAAAAAAAAAGAAAAAAAAGAAAAAAGAAAAAAAAGAAAAAAAATAAGAAAAAAAGAAACAGAAACATCACTGTGCCAATTCCTCTCCTACATACAAGAGACAACAGGGCGGGCGGTATGAATACAGGTACTACACTTGAATCCCAAGACGAGAACCTGGGTGCCACTATTTACTTTAATAGGGTGTAATATACGAGCTTGCTTTTGTTTTTTGATAAAATCATAATATGACCTCTTATTAAATTTCCAGTAATTTCCGATTTTTGTTTCGACCTCCGCTCCACCATATAATGTAAATCTTGTCACATTAAGTGTGCTACAAGTATCATGCAACCCAATGCTACCTGCCGCACGGTCGGGTCATCGTCGACTAAACTGGTTCCCCCACCAGGCTTTTATTGCGAGGTATGTGGCTTCACAACCAGCAGCATTAAAAACAACTTGCCAACGGGCGAATGAACAGTCTTGTAATGTCTACAACAAAGGAGTGGACTGACGACAAAAAATAGGAAGTTGTGGAGAGCCATAGTCACCCACGTCCTTAACGGACACGGCATATATATGAAATAAGAAGGATTTACAAAGCAGAGTACTTTCTTGCATGCAGCGATAGTGTTAATTGCAAAGATACAGATCTTGCCGAATAGGAAATCAATGCAGTTGCAAAATTAAGAACAAAAAAACTGACGTCATATTTTGAATTCCAGTATATTGTCTAGTTTACTGTGGTGTAAACTAGTCAATATACAGGAAATCCCTCGGTATCTATGCTTCTGAGATGAGGTATTATGTACACTATTTACATTATTCGGACTATTGTCCGCATCTTTGTTGGCATATTTATCCACAGTACCACGTGTTCAATACCTAGATAAGACAGTGGAAAACTTGGATAGGTGAATTAACAGGAGATAACTGATAACTGACATCCATTAGACATGGCACGTGGAACTAGAACAGTCTACTGCAGCGAGCGAAATAAAGGGTTTAGTTCGACATTCCAACCACCTGAAGAAGGCCGGAGCGTACAACGGCCGAAACGTTGAGATAAATATGGCGACAAAGATGAGGACAATAGTCCGAATAATGTAAATAGGAATCCCTCGATTAGTGCGGCGGAGAAGAAGAGGATTCATACCTTCCCCAAGGGTATTCGCACGTAAGTGAATGTTATTGATTCGACTGGAATTCGAACTCGGACGTGAGCGTAAGAAAAGTGAGCCTTCAAGTTGACGAGGATTGACTGTAGAGAGGAATGGGCTCCGCCAGGTCTACTTACCCAATACGCATGAATGTATACCACCCTTTCACTGTCGAAATTACTAAATGTAGCCGTCTCTTCTACTCCAATAGCTTCATGTCTCGCACCTCTCGCCTGCGGAACTCCCTTCCCTATTCCAGTTTCCCTGAGAGCTATAATCTCCAACTATTCAAATGTAATGTCAATCGACATCTCCAGTTGCCTTGATCTATTCACTATCCTTCTCCTCATCCTTTCCTCTATCACTCCTATCTGATCTTGCTCCAATTCTTCTGTAACCCCTTGCGTCCTAGTGGCTTCCCGCCTTGCTTGGGGTGAAAAGCTTAAAAAAAAATTAAAATTCTTTCGTCTTAAAGAAAATTAGAAACTAGTAGGAAATAGAAAAATTGTGACAAGCACAAAAAAAATATACACACAGAGAAATGCACATATCTACCATGTTGGCAGTGCATACATAAATACACACATGAGCATATATCAAATGCAGCAGCCATTGATGGACAATGACTTTAGCAACTTCCTTACATGATGACCTTGACTATGCTAATCTTTTTCTATATCTTACCAGCAAACCCCATGATCTCAAAATGTATGTGGTTTCTCCTACTGCCTACCTCCATTTGTCATTTCATTGTGGGGGGGGGAACGAGATATAGAGTGATGGAGAGAGAACGAATCATAGATATCTGTCAGCCTCTTCATATATATTTTACATTCTCTCAGATATATAACAGGTAGACATATACGGGGACACTGGGAGCACGACGAGACGCCACGGGACACTGGGAGCACGACGAGACGCCACGGGACACTGGGAGCACGACGAGACACTGGGAGCACGACGGGACACTGGGAGCACGACGGGACACTGGGAGCACGACGGGACGCCACGGGACACTGGGAGCACGACGAGACACAGGGGCACGACGAGACGCCACGGGACACTGGGAGCACGACGAGACACAGGGGCACGACGAGACGCCACGGGACACTGGGAGCACGACGAGACACAGGGGCACGACGAGACGCCACGGGACACTGGGAGCACGACGGGACACAGGCCGACGAGACGCCACGGACACTGGGAGCACGACGGACACAGGGACACGACGGGACACCACGGGACACTGGGGCACGACGAGACGCCACGGGACACTGGGAGCACGACGAGACGCCACGGGACACTGGGAGCACGACGAGACACAGGGGCACGACGAGACGCCACGGGACACTGGGGGCACGACGAGACACAGGGGCACGACGAGACGCCACAACGCACGGAAAAACAATGTGTTATGAAGATAATTAGCCTATTTGGGTTACTTTTTTTTTCTAGTCGTTAAACTAAAAACAAATATTGTGGACTGGTTGAAAACATCCAAAACTATCATAAGTCCTTTTCATGTTAATTCACGTGATCTCACATTTGATTACAGGAGTTAAATTGCACCTCCTCTAAAATTCGTCAACTGTGCTATACCAAATATTTTTTCTATCCCACCCTAATCTTTTAGCCATAGCTTGCAATAGACGTTCTGCCTAAATAAATGAGAAAAGCATGAAGTAAAATTCCAGTGGAGAGTTTATTTCGGGATGCTCTGATCGCGGCCTTTACAAGCGGACTGGGAACTCTGAAATATTCCAGAGAGAGAAACAAATTGAACAAAGCTAATGCAATCCGTTTCAATACGTCTGTCTGTAAAAATTCAGCGAAAAGATCGCAAAGCGTTGTTGTTGTTACACCCACAAAGATGCCATTTATAGATCAGAAAAATATGTAATCATTAGAGATTGCAGGGGGGATGAAGAAAAGGAGTAGGAATAGGAGTGAGAAAGATGGAGCCAGAGAGGAGAGGTGAGCCAAAGAGCAAGAGAAAGCGTAAGAGAGTGAAGAGAGAAAAAAAACAAGTTGAGAGAGTGAGAAAGCAAAAAAATATCGAACGTGATATGTGTATGTATATATATATATATATATGTATTATATGCTTTTCTTTTTCAGAGCAACCTAGTTTCATTGAAAGACTTTATTTTCCCCCTCCCCTTCTTTACCTCATTCTTCTCCTCTTTACCATTTCTGCTGAGCTGTCTTTCGGGTCAACGTGACCTCTCTGCTTCTTCCCACACTCCCAGTTTCTTGTCTTCTTCGACTTTTAGCTTTCAAGAAAGAAAAAAAAAAAAAAATATGCACGCACGTGGCCAATAGCTATCATCAGCATGACGAAACACTTACCTAATGACTATCGAAGGTAGGAGTGAGGGAGGGAACGATTGAAAACGAAAGTGAAAGTAAAAGTAGACTCAAACGAGAAACTGAAAGGAGAAAAGAGGAAGACAAGGAAAAATTGAGAGTGAAAGATGTTCTAATAACATCACGTTTTCACTTTTCGTAAATCTTTTTGTCATCGCAAATGATATCAATACGATAAATTTCATTGTCAATACTTCATAAACAATCAAATCAAACAATAGCAGACAGACCAACGAATCTTGCTTCATTTTCATTTTCCCAATAAGTCGATATTACGATAAGAAACAATAAAGAAAAACAAATCAACAAACGTATCGTGATAAGAACAATAGCTAGAAAATTAATCACGGAAAAAAAATTCAACTTGCTTCTTGATTTTAAATCTCTCTCAATTCAAAATAACGTAACTAAAAGAAACGAGCAAATGTCTTTAAAAACGCCGAATATTCATTTTTATCTTTGAAATGTTAAGCTTATAAGCACGCCGTAGTGAAAATGGAAGCCAGTAAAGATGTATTAGCAAAAGACAGGATTAAATAAAAAACAAATTTGCAGTAATCAAGAGATCGTAAAAATGAAATTGATGACCTAGCAAAAACCAGCTGTGTATGTGAGAGAGAGAAAGAAGGAGGGAGAGAGAGGAGGAGAAGGAGAGAGAGAAAAGAGAGAGGAGGAGAGAGAGAGGAGAGAGAGAGAAGAAGAGAGAGAGAGAGAGAGAAGGAGAGAGAGAGAGAGAGAGAGAGAGAGAGAGAGAGAGAGAAGGAGAGAGAGAGAGAAGGAGAGAGAGAGAGAAGGAGAGAGAGAGAGGAGAGAGAGAGAGAAGGAGAGAGAGAGAGAGAGAGAGAGAGAGAAGGAGAGAGAGAGAGAGAAAGAAGGAGAGAGAGAGAGAAAGAAGGAGAGAGAGAGAGAAAGAAGGAGAAAGAGAGAGAGAGAGAAAGAAGGAGAGAGAGAGAGAAAGAAGGAGAGAGAGAGAAAGAAGGAGAGAGAGAGAAAGAAGGAGAGAGAGAGAAAGAAGGAGAGAGAGTGTTCAAAACTGGAAAATATTCAGGTGGAGGTGTGGTTGCACAACTAATAACGCGGTTAAATGAGCTATGCGATGCGAGTTCAAATTCACTGAACCCATCTCTCCTTTCCAACTAAGTTTTTTTTTTTTTTTATATAACGCCTTGGTTGGCAACCACTCCAGGAAAAGTATAACTCCGAACTTTAAACCGTAAAGTAGGAAACGGGAAACCACTACATTATCTTGGCCAAGAATTCACTGAAATCGTCACATTTATAAAAAAAATAAAAATAAAAAATAAAAAAATAAAAATGATCAGATAGTCATGATCATCCAGAATAAAAAAAAATCGACTAAAAGAATATGGTTAGATTTTAATGAGTCTCCTTAGACTAATCGCTTAGGCTCCTATTTCACTGATACAAGGGGGGGCCTCCGAGTAAAAGGGATACAAGTTGAAATCTCTCCAATGCTTGGTTATTTGCAAACCACGCTGTTGACGAATGGCGGTCTGAGGGTTGCGATAAAAAAAAAAAAAAAAAACGAAAGAAAGGAGACGATATCTAATAATAGAAAAACCAATTTACTCTCATCTTCTTGTAAGACTAACAACCTAACCAATATCCCATAATAATTGCTATTCAAGACAAGAGCCATGTCGGTATGTGCTCTGTGAAGGCACTGGGACACATTTTTGTTTTTGTTTTTTACAAACTCAGTGAGGATGGAGTTTACTTGCAAGATACTTAGCGTAAATATTTGTTACAAACAACCTAACATTTTGAGTACAGGGAAAAGAATAACCTTGTTCACAACAGCTTTCGAGATGAGCAGATTATGTTATGTTTTTCTTCTGACTCAACACAGCTTCATTTCTCGCCTGTTTGGTAATAAACGGGTGTGCGATGGGTGTAATGGAACGCGGCTCGGAAT